TCATTTTACTGTGGGCTCGAAGACAGAGAGAAGCACACTCACGGGGGCTGTCGTGTGTACTTGGTGCCCTCGGGCGCTTTCTGAGAGACAGACCGGGGCCCCCTTTGTCGCGGGGCGGATGTGCCCAGGTGCACTTTTTGCAAGGTGGGGGGCGGGGGGACACTGAGCCAGGTGCCTGAGTAAATGCACGTCTCTCAGAGCTGCAGGGCTCCCAGCTCCATCGTTTAGGGACACTGTTCCCTTGTGTCCTCGTGCTGTTCGTAAGATACCTGTCACATCACGGAGGAACCATGTTGCTCGTCAGTGGACACAGGCTAGGGGACACGCTTCCCACCCCTACGCCGGTTCTCAAATCTTCAAAATCAGGCGAGCTTCTTTCCTCAGGAAGTGTCTTTGAACCGGCCATATTACGAGTTTGAGAATTTTCTAATGTTAATGTGTGTCACTGAAACTGAAAATTTCCAGTTTCCTCGGTGTCTGTGATGATTTCATCTTCCTAATTTTGTGAACCTGACTGTTCAGTTACTATTTGTGGAACATTGTATAAGATGCTTGAACTTCGTTCCCTAGTTTCCTCCTATGCAAAATAAGGGTACCAAGAGCTCCTGCCTCGTTAGGGGGAGCCGAGGTGCGCACAGTGCTAAGCCCAGTAAATGAAACTCTCGGTAAAGGTGAGCTGTTATCGGCCCCCTTCATCACTCAATTAGGCAAACTCATTATAGCTACCCGTTTTCTTCAAAAAACCAGCTCTTGGATTTATTGCTGTTCTGCTCTTGAATTAGTTTCATTTTTTTTACAATGCTTTCTAACTTATTTTGTTGCAATTTGAAATTTTCTTAACGATGAGTATTTAATTCATCTTTCATTATCTTGTTCGGTTCTATTGATTTCTGATCTGAACATGGCTTCGGCCATCTTAGATGTAGTCATCTGATTATAAAGTAGGCATTTGGAAGCTTCGGTTTGGGTTTCGATTTAGAAAAGAATTCCAAAATTTTCTAAGAGGTTGGCTTTTTTTCTTTTCTCTTTGGTTACTAAACTGTAGTGTTTTGTTTTCTTTTGCTTGACATAAGAGGATGCAGTCTCTACTATTTCTAATTCTGAAATCCCTGGAGGCTGTCTGCGGTGACCCAGACGTGGTCAGCTTCGGAATGTTTCGGGGGAACTAGAAGGTGTCGTCTCGGGTGTTTGACCCTGGAATTGAACGTTTAGACGTTAGTGACTGTGTTAGTCCCTGGCTACCGTTACGTATGTTTGCAGATTGCACTTGTCGCAGGTAAGTTACTGTGTTACATCCTGGTTTCTCCCCGCACGTTCAGGCACTGGCTTTGCGGGTCTTGATATTTGCACTGGACCTTGAATCCTCACTCTGATTCAACGGTCAGAACAAACATAATGGCTCACGCATGCCGACTTTGTTTCTCTCTTTTTATCTGGTTAAATAATTCTGTATCTTGCTTTCTTTCCATCTGAATAACTGCGATAGTCCTGTTTCCCGATTATACGTGGGCTCACTAGTCAGCGATGGGGGTTTTAGTAAGCAGGGTGGGGCGTGTAGAGACTGCTCCACGGTTAGAGGGGAGACCGAAGCAGCTGGCATTCTTCAACACATGGCTGGGGGCTCACTGTCATCCCAGCTCACAGGAACGGGGGAAGAGCAGGAAGGGACAAACGGGGGGCATTTTGGGCCAGGCCTAGAATGGCACTCACTACATCCGCTCACGGCCCAGCGGAGACTGTTCCACGGAAGTCCCGAGGCCACACTAGCTGGAGGAGAGACGCAGCGCATGCGAGCAGCCACGTGCCCAGCTCGGATTCTGTCGCCGTGGAAGCGGAGAATAGATTTTGATGGACAGCTGGCAATTTCTGCCATGATGCTATTTCGCTTCGTTTGGTACGTAGATTTAGGCCGCTTTCATTCTGGATTTAAAGTTGTTGTTGTTATTTTCATCTTTAGTTGAATGTTGTCTGATATTAGTTGCAGTTATAAGGGGTCTGGAGATGCATTTTTGTCGTTTTTCTTTTTTTTTAATTTTGTGCTATATGGTCAATTTTCTGAACCCTGTCCTCCCCCCCTCCCCGCCCCCCGCACACACACACACACACACACCCCTGGAAATTTAAAGGTACTTTTGTATTTTAAATGGTAAGCTTTACCACATTTATTTCTTGATTTATTGACTTTGAAAAATGAAGTGAACGTTGACTTCTCACTGTGAAAAACAAGGAATTAGCTCACCGACGCTTCTTTCTGTTTTGTCAGCGAGCTCTGGGATTTTCGTCCCAGTCCGTGAGTTATATAGTACCTTAAATTGTGACGTTTTTCCTTTAAGTCAGTTTTACATTCTTTTCCTTAACTGTAAGTCGCATTGTTGTGACTATTAATTTTACGTTAATGGATTCATCGTTCATAAATAGTCCTTATGTATTATGTTTTCTCCATTACCACGTCTTCACATTGATTCTCCTGGTTCACAGGATTTAGACAAATACTACTTTTCAGAAAGTTCACGGTTAGGATTCCGAGTTATTGCACAATTAGGAATGCTCCGTTTGCCTTTATAACCGTTAGGAAAAAGAACCTTAGGTTACACTTCCCGGGTGACATTGAACTGGCGAGGTGAGCCCTAGGAGGTGACGGGTCACTCTGAGCTTCTCCAAATGTTTCAACATTGCTCAGTGTTAAGAGTGGAAAATTTTCAAGTGAGCAAACTAGCTAAGTCAGCTACAGGGAAGAAATATCTTTAGATACCAGAAGTTGTCCTACTTGCTCGTGTGTGGTTTAGGAAGTGTATTGTATAAGATATGTAGATGGCCAATGTCTGCTTCTGTGATCCATTTACTTGTTAATTAAGGGTGTTGTTCCGGGCAAAGATATGCTCACAGCCAACTTCCACTTCTGTAATCTGCTGGCTTGTTCAGGAGACCACCGGGCTATGGTCTTGAGCTTTATCAGCTGCCTCCTCTGAAAGCTCGGGGCTGATCTCCTCTAGCCCTGCGTGGTAGAGAGTCAGTCGCCGGCCGGCTAATAAAGGCTCATAATTAATCTCAATTGGCTCCGTGGGTCTCAAAATCGTTCGCGCCATAACACTCAGACTTTTCGGGAACATAACGTGTTCTCTTTACCCGCAGACCTCGTTCTTATTTAGGGGGAACCGAATCATACCTGGGACTTTCACTTCTCTGTGCCAGGTGTCACTCTCTCACGTCGCATCAGCTTCGTCCGTCCCCTTCTCTGGTCTTTCGATCCGCGTCCGCCGTGATCAGTTCTCTGCTCAGATGTCACCGTGTCAGAGGCCCTTCCACCCCACAGGGAAACCACTAACCTTTGCCCCCCTTTGCCCACCGTCTGGTTTGCTTCACAGCACTTGTGACGCCACGTCCCCCACGTCCCCCACGAACAGAACACGAGCTCCGGGAGGAGAGGGAATCCGTCTCTTCCCACCATCACGTTGGGACAGTGTCCGGCATCCAGCTGACACTCAGCTAGCGACTGACTGCGTCGCCTCACGCTTTCCCTGCCCGTCAGCTTGTTTTCAGCTGTGTGCATTTTGCTCTTTGCCGTTTCTCATTTGTGGAACGTGTTTCCTCAGCTCTGTTTTTCTCTCTAACGGTATCGTCTTACTTTGTCTCTTCTTTTTTCATGAACTCCTCTTCTCTTTCGTTTCTCTCAGAGAGTGTGGTGGAGGATGTTCTATCTCCGTAAGAAAATTTACTTCCAGGACAGGAACTTCGTGGGTGCGATTTGGCACCCATAAGGCACTGCGAGGCCATCCCATAGCGAACGTGACATCGAGGTGCTCCAAGCCTCCAAATTTTTAAACACTGAAATATGACTTTTTCAGACTTACATGAAATGGAAGGAAACCTGGAAAACATCGTGGTTTTCAAAATGATGCTCTGGAAATGTAGTCGGATTTGATATTCAGTCAGGAGCTTCCAACAGATGCTGCCGGTACGAGAAACTTACACAGTGCCTCTGCCACTGTGATCGGGGACGCTTTACATCAGATTTAAATCTCGTCGTGCCCGGATAAAAGTGCGAAGATTTTCAGTCAGTCTCTATAGTACAGCTCTTAAAACATTTTGGCTCTGTAGGCCAAGATGGGACATCCAAAATTCATGAGTTCTGGGTTCTAATTCTTATGTTTTGCTTTTCTAATTAGAAAACAGACACTGGTTTCTGGAGAGAGGAACGGCAAGGTTTACCGATCCCCACATATCCATCAAAACAACAGGTTCTGAATTTCATCAAAACACCAAGTGGAGACACAGGCCGCAGCCTCTGAATGTCTCCGAAACACGGGAAAATGTCAGAATTCTGCATGTGGATCAGTGAAGCAGGAAGTCAAACCTCATTTAGGAAACACGTTTGCAAACGATGTTTGATTTCAACTCAGACGGTGGCAGGTTTCTGGCAACTTTGCTCAGCTGATTAGACTTTTAAAAAAATTCTCAAAAAATAACGCGGTTCACTTTCCTCCAGATTTCGGCGAATATTAACTATTTCAAGGTTTCTCCCCTTCGTTTCCCGTTTCCCCAGCTACGAAGAGTCAGTCCTCAAGTCTCTCCCAGCGAGGGCCTCACGTTTTTTCACACTTGCTTTAGAGACCAGCTTCATCATCATCTCTTCAGAAACTCTCTACACGTATCAAGTCTTCGTTGTCACAGCCTCTGAGTAATGCCCCGCACGGTCAGATGCTCCATCGGTGTCCTGGGTTCTGCCACCGGCAGAGCACCTCGAAGTCGGGGAAACGCGCTGCCCGGCCCCTCGGCTTTTTCGGGGTGCTCACGCATCCATTCATTTGATACCAGTTTGGTAGGTACTGAAGCCACCTGTCCTTTCTTTCTTAGATGCTTTCTAGACTGTGAAATGGGCCGAGCTTGCTCATGGGACAAGTCTGACTTTCCGTAGACTGGTCAGGAAAACCTCTCTTCGGGGCCAGAACTAACGCTAAGGGGCTGTTTGTAATATTCGGTAGGGAAATAAATTCATAAAATTTAAATGTTTCATCTACTTTCTATTTTTATTAAAGTTTGCTTAGGTAAATTTGGTAGCAAATCATGTGTAACGGTAAGTACTACAGATTCTCTTCCGTTCCATCTCTAGATCAATTAAATAAAAATATTCAGGAGTAATAAGCTCAATATTGTGAACATGAGAACGAAGCATGTGCCCAGATGCATCCATTAATTTAGTAACATTTTGTTTTTACCAGTACAAACTAGATTAACCATCCATACGTCTGAATAATCTTACGCATGTCCTGTTTTTAGTAAGAACTCAAAGAAAATGTTTGATCAGGTATTATCGGGATTTGTAATACAAGTATTATAAGTGTTTCATCAGATTTATTACTATATTTTAGTCTGAACCCTACAGTTAACACAAATACAAAACCATAAGCACATTTACAAGGTAAAAATTGTACAATAGCTCTGTATACTAAAATATTACCAATAGTGCAGTTTCTGAGAATCAAAATATCAGCTGGCTGATTTTGCTTCTATGATGCACATTATATGTTCTGGCATGGCAATGTCACTAAAACAGCTCACCATTCTCCACGATCTGTCATTCCCAGCATGCACTGCTATGCGGCAAATTCATTGTAATGGCAGTAAGGGGGGGCGATTTAGTCCAAAAAGCCATGATTTCTTCTGATGAAATATTTGATCATTAAACATGCAGTGGTGAACTTTCAACTCATAAACTATTCCTATCATCCAGTAAACATTATTACCGTAGTTGGTATAAACACGAGAACTTTTTCTTGCTTGATTAAAAGCATGCCGTACCATGAGATTGCCGACGGCAGGCAAGACGCCCGGTGACTTTATCAAAGGCGAGAGGACCGCCTCGCCAGCATGATCAGCCCACCCACTAGTGGCCGCCTGGAGTAAGCTTCGACGCCAAACGTAACACACTTCTAAAAAACGCGTCCCGGCGGAGCCGCTGACACTGTCCTCACTAGCTAACCAGGCACGGGTCATCACTGTTCGGCTTGACCTCGCCTTCCAGCAGCAAATTCATCACGACCTTGGTCAGGTAGCTGCACGTCCCCCGTGTTCCCAGCGGGGGAGTGTTGTAGAAGGAAGTCATGTCATCCTGCGAAGGAAAACGGCAAGCAAGTCATTTGATGTTTTGGTGGGGAAAGTTGACAAGCAAAATCAGTGTCGGCCTAGGGGGGGAAGAAATTCACAGAACGATTTCGTCGTGGAAAATATGAGCTTCTCGGGCTTTTCTTCCATTTTCTTGAGGCAGCTTCTCAGGAAAGATATTTTTAGTCTCCTCTTTGCTGGTAAGTTTTATTTATTTAGGGAACCTCTTCACGGATGAACATAAAATATTAAACAGAGACCCTGGAAGGGACTGTGCCCACGGACGGAGCCTGCTCTGCGCCCCGCTCTGCGCCCTGCTCCCCAGACTTGAACTTTACAGCCTCCTGGAATCTACGGCTTCTTTCCAGCAAAACAGACTTTAACTGCTAACGATATGAAGGAAATTTATCTCTTCCTAGATTTCTTTTCAGTCAACACCTCATGGTTGAATGGACTCATAATTTCACTAAAAAGTAACGTCGATTCCTCGAGTAAATCAGACTTCCTTCCCCCGCCCCTCAAATACTCCGTTTTGCACTCTGTCAATCTGTTTTATAAGTTAAACGATAAGAAATTAGGGATGTTTTGAAGAATCGAGACAATGGAACAAAAAAACCTACGAAAAGCTATTGCCTCTACCTACTTGTTTTTCAGCCTCCTTCAGTCGACTCTCGTCTTTTTGAAATTCATGAAATGCTGCTTTCACCAGTTTGTCCAGATCGACCTTGTCCTGAAATTCTAGCTCCGGGTTTCTCTCCAGCACGACGGACACGACCATTAGCAACTGGAAGAGACAGACATCGAAAGCCAGTTACGCGGACCGTGGAGGTGACGCGGGTGGACACGGTCCCTTCCATTCCCTCCCAGACTGACGGCCGCGCCTCGCGTCCCCGTGCGCTCCCTGTGACAGGCTTTAGGGCCTTGCATGGGAGGACTCCCCCTAGTCTTGCAAACGCGGGGCAGAAGCTCTGTGTGGACACTGAACCTTCTTTTCTGTATGTCCCTGTGGCTGTCCAGAAAGGTTTTTTCGTCACTTAATGCAGGTAGTAACTTAGAAAAGTGACTTTCTGAATCCTGTCTGCAGTGTGGCGCCCTGTGCACCCGAAGCGTCTGAACTCGTCTTGCCTTTGAGCACTAATCCTTGTTGGAAAGACACCAAACACAGCGTCCCGCAGGGCAGAGGAGGCCTTGGAAGAGGGGGCGGGCAATGAAGCTGGAGAAGGCGAGTGAGTTCGGTTGGGGACTCTGGACTCAGGCTCATGATCAACGGCTCGGAGCCCAGCACCCCAAAACGAGTATAAACCTCTGACGTCACAGTAGCTCTTCAGGGGACGGTTAAGTTTTTAAAAATACACTTAACTCTTTATGAAATGAGTTTGTGTGGCCTGTGAGCACCACATTCGATTACGCAGCGCCCGATCTTGCACCGACCCGTACGTTTACCCTAAGTAGTGACACTCATCTTGGATGACAGCTGTTACGTGCAAAGATGGCGTCTGAGGATATAATGCTTGGTAAAGACATTCTACGGATGATCATGGCCCCTACTCTGTGCACGGAACAGGAAAAAGACCTCACAACTCCCAGCGTGGGAATCGTCCTGACCACACGTCATCAACATGCCCCCAAGACAGAATCTGAAAGAGCCACTGGCACACTTTCAGGAGAACCTAGGGCTCATGGGATGGGAGACGCTGGGGCCAGGCTCAAGCCAGGAGAATACAGACTGTCGCTCTGGTTCTGCAAAGGGAATTACCTCATTTTGGCCAAACGAAGGCCCTCCCTGTCACTGTAGGTCCCAGATGCCAGGCACTAGACACCGAAAGACTAATAGCCCAAGGCAGGCATCTGCCCTTCTGACGACCCCATCTTTCCCTGCCCCAGGCTCTGCCTCGCTCGCACAGGCTCTGGCACAGATCGGCTGATACCGCGCCTGCACCCTGGCACATCGCGACAAGGCTGAATCTCACTCCGCAGTGACTGTAGCTCCAGTCACGCTGGATTTCAGGGGGTGGCACAGCCGGTCGGCACTCCTGAGAGCTTCTATACCGAGAGGGCACATCACCGCCCTTCAGGACGCCAACGTCTGAGGGACATACTCCCCGAGAGAGAGGCAAAGCGAAGATGAGCTATGTATAAATCCACGCACTTGGAGGATTCTCCGTGTATTTGGTACGGTGCTTTGAAAGGGCAAAAGAGCACGTGTGCACACGCGCGTGCGCGAGGGCGTGTATTTCAGCACTTAACGTATCTAGAGCTGCGATGACACAGCGCAAAGTCACGTCCCCTCCGTTCACTGACAGACGTCGGGAAAGGTGTCCCTCAAAATGTCTACGGTGGTGACCTATTGCTAGTGGGCGTGGGGCAACGGTCTTGCTTTCTTGTCTGTAACCTTCTGGACTGTCGAAGCTTCCTAGGATGGTCCTGCGCTATTCCTGTCACAGGAAATACTGAAAATAGAGCTAATGGGAGAGGGCGACTTCCTCTCGCGCGGCGGTGCCGACTCAGTCGCTGTTGGGAGACAAGCGTGTGGCTGAAGCAGAGAGACAGCCACCCCCACCCCCCGAGGGACCCGAGATGCGTGAACGCCCCAGCTGCCCTGCCCGAGTCCGGGATGGCCGTCACCCTCGGCACCAGCGGAGGGGCCCGTGAGGGGCGTGACACCTCCGGCCACTCGGGCATCTCTCTGTGTGCGTTTCGGGGAGCAGGCGGGAAGCTGCCGTCTGCATACGAACCTCCACGACGATCTGCCTGTACTTCGGCTGGTCGATGTTCCCCAGCATGTCCTCGACGAGCAGCGAGAAGTTCATCTCGTACATGGTCATGTCGGACAGGGTCGGCTGCTGGAAGACACAATATCGCACGCTGCACCGTTACCCTCCAGCTCCCGCTTCAGAGATGGGTTTCATTTTCTAATCGATAATCTGTTCAGTTTCTATAAAATCTGAGAGAGCATCTTTGGCTCCATGACCGGAGTTTATATACGTCGATCTCCTGGAGCCGACCGGTCCCTGTGTGATAAACGGGACCTCCGATTTTAGTAGTTACCGTCACTATGTTAATGTCTTCGGGGGAAAGGGACCGTGTTAGCAACTGCTTCGGGACAAAAAAAGCACAGCCAAAAAGTGTGACAGGTAGAGACACGTCGCTCTCGGCCCTGACACCAGGAGGTATGCTTTGCTGCAGCCTGTGGCGTGTCAGTCACCTGCTATTGCATTCACGTCATTTCTGTGGCAGGTCCTTTCTGAGCCGCAGCATAAAAAGACATACAAATAAGCAAGGATGACATGACGTGCAGAAAAGGCAAGCAGGCCCAGAAAAAGCAGAGCTAGAAGAATTTCATCTACTCTACCCTTTATACTCCATTTCAAACGAGAGGACTGCACAGTCTTCCACGCGCTTTTCACAAAGCAAAATGGAAAGCAGAAAATAAACTCAAACTTGAACCTAAACCTGGGCATGTGGCCAGCCCCGCGGGCGGGAGGGGAGGCTCCGTTCGGCCTTTGTGGTGGAAGGCGGGGGCGTCCCCAGGATGACGACCACAGAGGCAGAGACGATGAGTCACACTTATTTGCTTTCGCCTCAGTGACGATTTACGGTGGACTTCATCAGAGCCTCAGAACCACGTGTACCTACTCGCCACCCAGAACGGGACGGCAGGAACGTGCCCTCTCAATCCAGCGACAGCACAGTTGTTCTGCCTCAGACCTACATTCGGTATGGCCCATCTGTTGTATTCTAGGTTCGGTGCGATCCAGCATATTGTTAATGTTTACAGGTAGCACCTAATTTGGGGAAAATAAATCCCAGTGTCTGAACACAGTGATTACAATCGTCGAGCTGTCTAGCGTGGGGCTAATGGGTCTCAGAAGGAACGGAAGACGCTTTCAGGATTCCACGCCGATTTCCTTTTAACACATGTCATTGGAAAAGCCTCGTTACCACGCGCCCGCGGCGAGCCTGCCTGACCTCCCGCCGTCTGCGAAGCGCTTCGGGGACGCGGTGCGACGGAGAAAGGGCTCAGAGGCGACAGCACCAGGGGCCACACGCTGGGCCAGCTACCTCCCAGGCGTGTGATGCTGGGGAACCGCCTGGCGGTGCTCAGCTTCCTCACGCGTCACTAGGGGGAACAGAGTCCCCACCGCCGGGGAGGAGCACGGAGAAAAGCGCCGGGCGCATAAGGACACCTCGCACGTCCCTGTGCCGCTGTCGTCAGCACGGAGAGGGCGCTAAACGGGAGTGGCCGGGGAGTCAGGCCAGTGAAAACCTGGCAGGCGTCCTCGGGGGCTGAGGGGGCCGCTGACGAAGGGTGGCCCCGGTCCCTGTGTGCAGACAGCGGCCTCGCAGGACAGGCGGGACTCAGACAGCGGAGGCTGCTCTCCGCCCACGGGACGGTGCTGCCCCATGCGACAGTCACAGAGCCTCTGGGAAAGGCTGCAGACCTCTCCCAGCAACCACAGCCACTCGACAGTTTGCGAACGGCACAGAGAACACGCTTTAAAAATTTGCATTCACTTTTTGAATGTGGAATAGAGTCGCATCGTTCAAAATGTGAAAGGTTAAAGAGGGTTTTCAGTGAAAAGCCCGCGCTGTACCCCAGACCACGGCCCGTCCTCCAAACGGCGAGAAAGCCCGCGGCCCATCTCCTGGGGGCCTTCTGGAAATGCTCCATGTACATCGCATGCGAGCGAAACGAGTACGGGCTGAGGAAGAATCGTCCACTTGTATAAAGACCATCAGAAATACTTTGGTTGGCATTCCCGCACTGGAAACGAACACGGCACCCCATTTCCAAAACGCCTACTTATTCACGCTTGTGCATAAGCGGAATGGTTTAGATGCCAGGATTAAATAAAATCTAACCAAATCGAAGAAGCAGGCCGGTCTCCGTAACTTGAGAGGCCACCTGAAGGCGGGCCACTGGCTCGTTCCGACCAAAGGTCAGTTACATCTAGAGTGAGTCCCCAGGCAGTGGTTTCCACCTCCACTCACTCGGTCACCTTGGGGCTGGGGCCTGACCCGGTTCTGCCCTCTGGATGTGTGTCTTCCTGTGTGTGGGGCCCCCGGCACTGGCCCAGCGCTCTTGGTGGCGGAGGGAGACCCTAATTCACTAATAAGCGAACACAGAAAGGACGGCTTGTTTGGCAAAAACTTGGGCCATGGGGTCCCTTCAAACTGAGAAAGCTTCCTCGAAGCATCTGAATTAGGACAAGATAATAAATTTTGATTAAATACAACTTTTAAGCAAAATAGCCATTTGGTAAAGCAAGGCTTTTGTACAGAAGGACACTAAAGTTGCAAAATAAACGCGACTCATTTCCAGTCCTATTGACCACACTTATTTTCCAGTACTTCCTCCCTCGGGGTTTCTGGACGCCTCTGCTTTAACCCCCCTGAGAGGGTGGAATAGGCAGAGCGACTGCTTGCAGCGCAGAGGAGGGGTTCCCCACCGCTGGGCTCCCCCATAGCCCCCGACACGGGCGCTGACCTGCGGCAGGTGCCTCCCAGCCACCACGAGGCCATTGGGCGTGCGCTCCAGGATCTGCCACACTCGGTCGTAGAACCCGGCTGGGGTTCTGTTCAGAGACCCGTTGATCTGACGCCGGTCCAGCCAAGACCTGTGGACCGAAAGGAGCGAGAGATGCCTCAGAGCCAAAAAGCAGGCTTGTTCCGGCAGAAAGCGGGACTTTCAATATGGATTAATGTTCCAACAGCCAGCAGTAAAAGCCCAAATCCATCAATGATGCATACTTCATCATGCGTTACGGAGATCGCTAAATATTTCATAGTGAAAACAGAGCTTGCGGGGAAGGAGAAAATCCCCTAGATTTTACAAAATTTAACAGGCAACATGTTTTTCTCTATTAAGTTACAAGGTTAAAAATCTCACCATGTGATCGAATGACTTCAATACACAAAAGCAGCTCCATTTAAAAACACAGGAGCAGCCTAAATAATTATATCATAGCCTTTTCTGTTATTAAAAAAAATTCTTCATTTCGATGCAGTCCACAAGTCTCTGTTTTGCTCTAACTCTAGCACAAATGAAGTCTAAGAAAAGGTTCAGCCCTGAAGAAGGTTACAGTCTACTTCCCGAAACAGGATTTAAGCAACGTGACTAAGCGGAACCTTCATGCCGAAACTTTGGGAGCAGGTGTTGAGTACTACGAAGACTCAGAAAGAGAACTGGCCAAAGAGGTATGAAGTGTTACGTTCTACACAGAAAAATAAAAATCAAAAAACGTTATTAACTACACCTGAAAATGTACAGAATTAAAATCAATACGGAATCACAACCGAAGACAGATGTTTCCATGAGCATCTCTGTGCACGCTGTCCACCTCGTAGACGACCCGCTGCACCTTGTTAATATCTTATTTCATCTACATATCAAAGTTATGACGTCGGTAATGCAGAGTGTCCTGCAGGGGACCAAGGCCCCGCTCACCTTCCGTTCTGCTGAGGCTGGAGAACGTCCAACAGAAGCCGTTTGACCTCACTGGGTGACAGCTGACATAAGTCTGTGGCTGGCTTGTCCCCGCTGCGGATCCGCAGCTCGTGCTCCATGGCGTGGATGATCCACCTAGAACGAAACGAGGAGCGTGAGGCCATAACCCTGGAAATAAAACCACCGGGGGCTTCTCGCGGCAATGCCCTCCACAGCGCCGACCCCTCCAAAGGGAAACGAAGAGAAGCCTCGGGCTTCCTGAACCACTGACGCCATTGCTCCCGGTGGGGTTATGGGGCGCGGTCGGACGGATGGATGAGGCCCGCTCCTGCATATGCGGTAAACGTGAAAACAGGGTCAGAACGTAGGTTCTTGACAGAGGAGACTCTATCTATTTGGCATGACAGCATACGGTCCGCGGACAGCTGCCACACACTATTATCTTCTTAATGCCAGATACGTGCGCAGAACGAATAGGGTGGAAAAGGTTCATTTTAAGAAAAGGACTGAGATATTCTGTTACACACACACTCCTTTCTCAGGAAGGATAAGCACTTTTCCTCGCTGTCATTCCTTTGTGGCCGGAGGGGACAAAGGAGAAACCCCTGCCTTTGAGATACAGGGACATAGTTAAAACATAATTATACTAGTAGATTAGAGGATATACTTTAACCAATAGATTTCAGAAGAATCTTCTTTACAGATATTTAAATGCTGTTCATAAGATAATTTTTCCTACGGAAAGAATTTCAATATAATAATTTAGGCAAGCATTTATGGAACACTATTTGTGTGTCCGGTATTTTCCAAGGTATAGTTATATGCCTAGAAATGCCTAAAATATTTAATCGTTTTATGTGTTAAGTAATTTGATTTTTTAATCTGAGAAGCTTTTAATAAGTATTTTTATAGTTTCGTTTCGTTTCTTTCACTTACTGTATTCTGAGGAAAGAACTCAGATAAACTAGTTATGCAAAACGAAGAAAACTCTGGAAATTCAACCATGCCCTAGGGAGTCGGAACACTACACACTACCAGGAAAAGCTAGGAAGCAGTTCACACAACGGATTCCTGTGCTTTATCCCTAAATCCTTCAGCAAGCACTGATGACAAACAGGAAGAACGCAGCTCCAGCCCTGGAAACTGGAAAAAAATGTGCGGTTTACAACCCACACTTCTCTAATTGGGTGAAAAGAAAAACCAGGCTAAACCCACATCATTGCCAAAGACTAGACTCTCTTTACTTGTTCATCTTCGTTACGAGCAACTACCTTTCCTCAAAATGTCCCACGAACATAAAAGTCCCAAGAGTATAGTTACTTTGGATGCGTTGACATTAAAGTTGCCTATGAAATTAGCTGTTTCAGTGACCCTACAGTTACAACAAAATGCCGCTTGGAACTTACTTTAGATAAAAAAAAAAAAATTCTATTTTTACTTTTACAGGTTAGACAGAGTTCTTTCTTTCTTTAGTTAACATTAAAATTTTACGTTTGTGGCAGCTTAGCATGAGAGAAAGAACGTCAAATAAAAAATCTGAAGACCTGCCTTTCGGTCTCCCCAACAAGCGAATAGTATGAAAAAAAGGTGTGTGCGTGGGGAGGGGGGTGCCGTTCTAGACAAAAAGTGACTTAAGAGACAACTAATGCCAGGCAGGGCCCTTGTTTGGGATCGTGATTTTTTAAAAGTAATTTTGAGAATAAACAGAGAAATCTGAATAACACAGGGGTTTAGGTGATGTGAAGGAATTATCGCTCATTTTGTTGAGTTTGATAATAGTATTGTCATTATTAAGAAAAGTTCTTTTTTAAAGAAAAGAGGTAGTTACTAATATTGAAAAGTAAAAGTCAAAATGTCTGGGATTTGCATTACAATCTACTACAGGAAAAAGAGATGAAGCAAATATAGGGAATGCAAATTACTAGCAACTACTTACACCACTTCAATAACAGACATGTGGGAATTTGCCAAATTATTCTATTATTCGACACTGAAAAGTTTTCATAATGAAAAGCGAAAACAATAAAGACAGATGTGAATACCGATTCTGACACTTATCGACTATGCCCCAATGGCAAGTCGATTTTCAAATGGGAACATTACTATTACTTGTTCAGCTCACTACATGGAATTATTTTGAGGAACGAATAAGATGACATATGTTAAAAGGTTTTTGAAATTATAGAGTCATAAGAATGCTGCCAAATTCCTCTTCCTAGACTTTTTAGACTCAGGCTGGGGGAAGGTAATCCAGCTTTTTAATTCAAGTCGTGGAGTCACCCAAGTCAGCGCCACGCCTTCAAACGTCAGGAGGTACCCTCTTCTAAAATAAGTCACTTCTTTATTTTTAAAATGCTTTTTAAAGTCTTCCAAGATTTCGAGTTATTAAAACTAAACACGGTCTATCACATTTACCTTTTAAAACCTTCATACCATAAACAAAGGTAGTGGAAGATCTAAAAATGTCTCCTCAGGCTTCTTCCTTCCGTTCACAAAATCTCAGCAGTTCTGTGAGCAAATTATAGAAAACGTTGTACTCGACAGCCCCCAAAGAAAGAAGGTAGCTGTTTTTCATTCATTTGAGCACAAAGGAATATAACTTATCTGTCAGATTTTTGAAATATATTTATTCATTAAAAAATATTGGCCAAACTAATCTTTTTTGGCACGGAATTCTTCAAAAGACTAAACTAAAAACAGCCTCAGACGTAAACTACTATGTAGCAGTCAGAGACTTAAAGAAAGAAAATTACTGAGTAACAGAAAAATCAAAGACTTGTATCCACTTCGGGAACTACAGCTTGGAGAAATCGGACGTCTTCCTCTCATGCCCCCTGACCTGACGATTCCGACGTGAAACGTGGAGAGAAAGGCAGCGAGCGAATGCTCAAGGACAGAA